ACAACCATAGGAAGTGGGATGAAAAGTTGGCCAAACTAGCATGTGCTACCCGCACTGCCTACCACGAATCTACTGGTCAAGATCCTTACTTCATAAATTTCGGTCGGAAGATGATAGTGGATGGACGAGATTTTTCTCAAAAGGACAACCTCGGAGATCCGGAGGACGAAGTAGCAAAAGTGGGAGATGAACGATCGCATGGACTACAGGAATTATTTGCTGATGTTAGGAAACGTTTAGATAAAGCTTCGGCTAAGAGTGAGAAGACTTATAATTTAAGAAGACGTCCAGAGGAATTTCGCCCCCATCAGTCAGTGTGGCGAAGAAACTTTGTGTTGTCGGATGCCACTAAATATTTCTCGAAAAAGTTAGCTCCTAGATGGATAGGACCCTACTTCGTGAAGAAAAAAGTTTCTCCATGGACATATAGCTTAGAGGATGAAAATGGTAGAAATCAAGGCATTTGGAATGTTAAGGATCTAAGGGTTAGTAACCCGACTGATGATCACGATAATATTTAGATCAGAACAGGACGGATTAGCAAAAGTTTTGTCTGGCTTTGATTCGAATTATGTTTTTTGTCTAGTTATGTCGTTTGAGATGGTTGCTGATACAGTTGGTAATTTCTTTTGGTTTGTGGGAATGAATGTCATGTAGGTTTTGTCAGAAATATGTTGTTTTCGGGATTATGGCGTAGGAATTTGTTGGGATTTTAGTAAGCCATTCTATTAAATTAGGTTTTTCCCGAAGTCACATAGTTAGGATTTGGTGAATCTTGTGTTGGTAATAGCTTAGCTTTTGGATGATTCACTTAATTTCGTTGATTTTCGTTGATTTAGCTTGATTAACAATGGGGATTAGACTACTGTTTCAACAGATGTTTTGGTTTTTTTCTGTCAGTCCAAGGTTTTCGACATCCCTTGCTATTTCCTTACTAGCGAAGAAATCCAGATTGTAGTTATCTCTGTCTTTCACATCGAGACAACAATTTTTGGTTTTGTCGTCGCTAGGTGAGTTGTTTTGTCGTGCTGCGACAAAGATGCGTTCTCTTGTTGACAGTTCTGAGTAGTGTTCTCTAGAACTGGTTTGGCTTGTGGGTTTTGTGGTTGTTAGTAGTATTTCGGATATTTTGGGAAGGGGAATATTGTGGTTTTTACTAGGTTTAAGTCCCTTTATTTTTTTTGTGTAAGGCCCAGAACTTTGCAGCGTGCGTGGGGGGTTCACAGTGACTCTCTTCAATGGGAAGTGTACTTCTCAGGCCTCGGCGTCGGGGGGTGTCATTTTCATGGACGGATCGAACTGCCGCTACAATCCCACCGGGGTTGTAGCATTGCACGGTCGTTCGAGTCAGTCGTTTAAGTGCTGGAACCATAATTCGTCTGGTTTTCTCTGAGGGGTGCCGTCACTTGTACGTCCAAGGTGGGGGTGGCACTACTGCGTTAGGAGCAACATGGCTGTACATGTCACTGTGAGGACCCAAATTCAGTGCAGAGTTCTCTGGATACCAATCATTATTTTTCCCGTGTTTTGCCCGTTTCAGTGTGGTGCAGTACTATAACTGTACTGGGGTACAGAGAGTCCCCCTGGTGGTAAGACCTAAAGCATTTTAGTCTGGTATAGTACTATAACTGTACTGGGGTACAGTTGTCCCCCTGGTGGTAAGACCTAAAACATTTTAGTTTGGTAAATACTAGAATTTACTTTGGTATGGGTTATAGGTAGTGTGTCGCTAGCGCGAGGGAAAATTTCTCCTCTTGTTTTTCCTCGTAAATTTTCCTCTGGGAAAGGGGGGTGTTGTTACGTTCCAAATGTTGCATTAGGCTTCATCTCTAGTTTTGCAACTGGTTAGATGTCACCGCTCTGTTTATACAAAAACAGATATGTAATATTTGTTGCCTACAGTCAAGGTAGAGAAATGAAATTTTATTAATTTTATTTTGGGGGAAAATGATTTTTTTTAAGTGCTAAGAAACTAAGGAAAAAATTCTTTTTTATGAAGGAATTAATTTATATGAGGTTTCTAGTGATATTTTGTAAGATTTGGTGTTCCAAAATTTAGAATTTTGAATCTCGGGCCTAGTCGGCAAATCTTCGTGTGACGAGCGCTGGATAACGGCTTTTAGGTTTGAAGAGTCATTCTTTAGGTGAATTGGCATGGAATAAGTCGCTGTATTAGAGTATTTACCGGCAACTGTATTTTGCTGTTTCCTGAGGGATTTCATTCTAATACAACGTAGCGGATGTTCCCCTAGCTTTGTGTCCTTAGTGGAAAAGTTTGTTTTGGTGTTGGAATATTCGCAGATTCGCCAAAGGGCGGTTTTACCAGCCACGTTTCATCTTTAGAATCAGTTACAATAAGACCGAAGATCGAGCCTTAATCACGATCCAGATAGCCAAGTAGTTTACGGCTAGTCTTTAACCCTTGGTCTGGCTAACAAGGGTTCAGGTTCCGGTTTCGTTTCGTTATCGTTTTGTTTTTGGGTTTTGGTTTTCCCATTGCCTGATTTTAACCGTTTGGTGGTTGATTTTCGTCTTCCTGGCTGGACGTAGCCCATCATGTGCTCCTGATTCGACCTGGGAGGTGTTTCGACCTTCGTACTGTTCTCTGCGACGACTTCGCCGTTACAGCTTTTAATGGGACTTCCCCCCGCTGCGTCTCAGTGGACTTAGAAATTGTGAATCGCAAAGACACCCCGAAGATTGAGGAAGTCACACAAGTAACGACGTATTTTATGTGATAAATTCGAGGTATTTATCGAGCTTTAATTTTTCAAGCGAAGTTTTATGCGCTATTTTGTTAAATTTTCTTATTCAGATAACATTGTTAAGAAAATAAAGAAATTGCGGTCTCAGGTATTTTATATATTTACACATTTTCCGGGTATGTAAACTGCGCCTAAGGGTAGATAATTTTTTTTTTAGGTTTACATTTTATGTCATGATCTGCACACACACACCTGAGCTCACGTGGTGTCGTATTTGAGTTAATACATTTTTTTTACTGGGTTTAATTCACACACCAGTCTCCTTAGCGTTTGGTAATTTTTATTAAACATCTTAACCTGTAATATATATTTATCTAGTGTTACTTGTTGATATCATATTTAAGCCAGTAATACCCGCATTACTACATTATTATTTTCTTTTAAGCCTATGGTAGAGGGAAATAACAGTGTATTTTCTTTCATTATATTTAATCATTAAATTTGATAAAATCTTGATCTCAGACAATTTGTATTTTTATTTATCTCACATGTATTTAGGTTGGTGTATCCTATACTGGTAATTTTGGCGATAAACCTATTGGTAAGTTGGTGGTTTATCATAAGCAACGTAGGGAAGGCTGTGGGCCAATTTACCTGGCGCCCCTTTGATAACTTTTGTATACTTCAATGGACTGCATGACCAGTCTCCACTGTTTGTCTAGCCGCGAGCCATTCTCATACTGTCACCGTATAGTTTTTTTTGTCGGTGTACGTCTAACCTATATGTGGTGAACTAGTATTGAATTAGTGTTTATAAATTGCGTCTGGTTCGCCATATCTCATCATTCACTACGAATACCTGATCATCTGCGAAAAATAAAGTTGGTAGTCCAATAACACTTTATTATTGGAAATGATTCAGATATAAACTTTCCTTCCTTAACGACACTTCTTGCATTTTTGTATATATTTGCGATAGCATTCACATACTCTCTACTAAACAGTTTTTCAAAGGTACCGTATCGTATACCATCTACAAACAATAGGTGGGTAGATAGATTCCTTGCCTTCCCATTTTTCGATTACCTGCTGCAGAACGAATATACCATCAGTGCACGATCTTCCTTTACGAAATCCATTGTGTTCTTCTATGTCTTCGTATTCTGATTTTATTCTTTCTTTTATTATTTGACCGTACAACCGCCCCACTGAGCTGATAACAGTTAATCCCCTATAATTAGAGCATTTGCGTTTATCTCCTGTCTTAAATATTGTGCTGATGCATCCAATATTTAAATCGTCAGGGATATTTTAACCATTTGTTAAATAGTTGAACCAACATCTCATGTAATATTTTTGGTTCATACTTTACCAACTCAATTGGGATGTCTTCAGGTCCTGCTGCCTTATCGTTTTTCGATGTTTTGAGGGCATCGTTTAACTCTCCGGTTTTAAAATTATTAATTAAAAAAATTAGATTATTTTAATTAATTAATGCAAAATTATTTTCTATAAACTGGTAATTTCATTGTAATGAAATTTTGTGTGATAATTAAACATATTAACGAGTTTTCTTAATAAAAACTCACATAAGATACCTTTTTTTAACTGTTTTAACTTCCTACTGATCGTCTTTCTATTGGGGAACCGTCTCTTGCCGTCTTTAATAATGTATTTGCTCTCTCTCTGTCAGGTCTTGTTTCTGCCGTGTATGTCATTATTGGTCTGATGACTGTTTTGTAAATTCTACCTTAAGTTTCTTTCCCGATATTTTTATTTTTCCATATTATTTTATTTAGGCAGCTTGCAGCTCTGTTTTATCTTCCACTTAGGTTTCGAGCTTTGCGTAGCTAGATAATGTGATGCTTAGATATTTAAACTCCATCACTTGTTCTGTTATCTGACCTTCCAGCTCCAATTTACATCTTAGCAAATTTGCTGTTGTAACCATGCATTTTGTCTCTTTTTGGGGAAATTAATATGTTAAATTTTCTGGCGGTTATATTAAATTGGTGCAGCATACGTTGTAAATCATCTTTACTTTAAGAGAGTAGTACTGCGTCGTCTGCATAGCAGATTATTTTAAGTTGTTTTTCTCCCACACGCTTTAACCAAATGGAGTAAGAGGAGTAATTTAAAAGAGATCAAGGTATAATGATATAAATATGACACCACCACCTAGAGACTAGTGAAGGTGATAATGGTATGTCTAAAAATGGATAAAATAAGTATGCATGGATATGTTTAGTTTAAAGATAATTCTATTTCGCAGTAATTTTTGTTTTAGTAGTTTACCTTTTACTCCTGGCAATCCAGGTATTCCGAATTCACCATGATCTCCTCTGGGACCTGGCAATCCAGGGAAACTTGGGGGACCTAAAGTAAATAATAAAAATTTTTAATATCATATTTTATACCTCAGTGTAATTTTAACTAAATGTATAGAATAATTTGTAGATATAGAATTTACTGTACGTATACTCGGTTCACTAATTATTACAGTCTAACTCTTGTAAATTTAGCAATTATTATTATTTTTTTTTAAGTTAGTTACGTTTTAACAGACGGGAAGTGCCTGTAAACTAAAAATTATTTTGTTATATATATATATATATATATATATATATATATATATATATATATATATATATATATATATATATATATATAACAAAAATGTATAATATATAAAAATATATAAATATATAAAAATATATATATATATATATATATATATATATATATATATATATATATTTAAGATATTTTATGATTTTTAATAATTATATAGAAACTTTAATATTTTATTTTAAAAAAAAATTTACCGTATATATTATCTCCTGGTGGTCCTACAGCACCAAAAGGTCCTGCACCTTTTCGTCCCGGAATTCCTGGTATACCTCGTTCACCTTTTTCGTGGGGAATATTTTCTGTAGCAAAAACATTAAATATTAACTTAATACTTATATATTAACTAAATATTAAATATTAACATAATTAATTAGAATAATAAACTCAATAGGTGGGGAGATGACACATATCGCGAAAATTTAAAAATGGTAGTGTCTACTATCTCAAACATTGGATCAATCGCATGTGTGGCATATATTTGCACTTAACTTTTCTGCTCTTTAAGGTACCGGTCTTTGTGATAAAAAATATTAAAGATAGGTATTTTATTATAACACAAAAAAGGTATACTTGTCAATAGCCTCAAAACTTAAAATTTTTCGAGATACTCGCATTTTACAGGTCAACTACATAATTCTGATTTAACGCAATTACTCCAGGAAATAAAAGAAAATTATACAAAGACATCAATATTTCTAAATTTTGGTACAAAATTACGATAATATTTACCGAAATAATGAATTAAATAAATATATCTCCAGGATAGTTGATAGTAGGAAATAACAAAATAACAGAATAATTGGATTTTACATCAAACATTTTACGTTTTGTATTAAATTAAAGTATTTATCATATTTTATTTAATTTACAAAATAAATTAAGAAATAGTTAAACTAAATAACAATTAACTGTTTATCAAAGTAAGTTCTTTAATTAATTTGTCAATACATTCCATAAAAGAACGTCTCATATTAAATTCAAAGGTGCTAACAAAACTGCTGCAGTATTTATTATAAGTATTATAAGTATAGTAAGTATTATTCTGGGATTTTTATGCATTAAGTAATTATGTTAATATCTCACCACATGACAAAGAAATATGACTACCACGAACAATCCAACGTTCAGGAAAGTTGTATTTAAGTATGTTCTCACTGTCCTTACTCTATAATGTGGTGGTGTATCATCTTGTATAAACCACATATTTTGCCTTTAGTTTGATGACAACTTTTTCAATAAATCAACAAAATTATTTTATAAAAAAATGTAAATAAATCTCACCATTCAAATTACAAGATAATTCGCATGTCCGTAAAAAATAATTCCCAATGGTTGCAAACCATACGTTTATTTAAAATTCATGGTAAAAATGCATATCGTATAGTATGGTACCATTTGTAATTATTTTTACGGACAAGCGAATTACCTTTTAATTTAAATGGTGGGATTTGTTTCCATTTTTATAAAATGATTTTCTTGATTGATTGGACGAACTGTCATCAAATTGAAGGCGAAATGTGTCGTTTGTGCAAGATGGTACACCACCACATTATAGAAAGAGGGCAGTAAGAACATAATTAAATACAACTTTCCTGAACGTTGGATTGTTCTTGGTAGTCATATTTCTTGGTCATGTGATGATATATTAATATAATTATTTAATTCATAAGAACCCCAAACGAATACTTTATTACTATATTCAATTTTGTATAAATTATGCTTATAATAATTATTATAAATACTGCAGCAGTTTCTTTAGAACCAATGATGCTATTTAATATGGGACGATTTTTTATGAAATGTATTGACAAATAAATTAAAGAAAATAGTGGACGTATAGAATACTTACTTTTACAAAAATTTAATATTATTTAGTTTAACTATTTCTTAATTTGGTTTATAAATAAAATATTTTGATTATGACTTTAATACAAAACGTAGAATATTTTATGTAAAATCCAATTATTCAGTTATTTTGTTAAATCCTACTAATAACTATCCTGCTGATATATTTATTTTATTTAATATTTAGTTAACTATTGCCTTTATTAAAGGCATTTCATACAAAAATTTATAAGTATTGACGTTTTTATCTAATTTTCTTTCGTTGTCTGGAGTAATTGCGTCAAATCAGAATTATGTAGTTGATTTGTAAAACGCGATTATCTCGAAAACTGTTGAGTTGAGTTTTAAAGTTAATAACAAGTGTACCTTTTTTTTGTAAAATAATGTATGTTTAATATTTTTTATTATAATTACCGGTAACTTAAAGAACAAAAAAGTTAAAAGCAAATGTATGCCACGTATGTAGCATACACGCCCTCTATGAGCTACATTAAAGTATGCATTAAATTATAATTTCTGATGTTTTATAGTACCCAGTTATGAATTTTTATTGACAAATGTTCATAAACATGAAAGTTATAGAAAAAATTAAAATTTTTAATTTCCCATTTAACACCCTGTATCTTTCTTAATATCAACATTTTATTAAAGAAATTTGGCTTAAATCATAATATTTTAAAGTGTAGAATCTACAGTTTCTTTTTGTACGATTACTTAAGGACACACCTGTATAAAACCAATGTAGTCTACAAAATTTCTTTTCAGGGTTATGAATTGTCCTACATTGGACAAACTACCCGTTCCTTAGTGATGAAGTATAACTTTTCTATGGACCTGACATTCTTTATCGAAATCTTGAAAGGCAATATCCGAAGAATTTCAACATGTTAAAACTAAATTGTCTAACAAAATTAAAGAGCAATAAATGTTAGATGAAATGGAAGAAATACCTCCTAGTGGAAGATAAGAATTAAGTAATTAAGTATTTGATTCTATAACATCAGCCAATATTAATAAATTTCACTGATATTAAACAGTAAACAAATACTTAATAATGGGATAAAGGGGATACAAGTTTTGTAACAATATATCCTTTAACATTAAAAGGAAATCTATTCTGTAAAAAGCATGTGTCCGCATGTGAATTCTAAAACTAAGACATTGGAGTAGGTTATGTTTAAATCTCGTGTGATGGCAAGTTATAATTCAAAAAGCGATTAATGGTCATATCTTTTCTATAGGAGAAGGTTGTTAATACCTGATTACTACCACAAATCACCTACCTCTAGATGCTTCACGACAATACTTTATTAACCCTGCTGTACCGTTCGAGTAAACTACACAAATGTACTGTTCGGGTCAATATGACCCAACTATGATTTACGCTCCCTAATAGAAATAAAATAAGCTAATGGTGCTAAACAAAACTGTATTAATAAAAAATTATAGTTAATTAAACAATAATTATATTGTTACTGTAAATTAAACCTTATTAACAAAAATAAAAAGCATTTTTTCTTTCCCAGAAAACCCTAAGAACAAATATCTACAAAATTTAATTCAGTTTACAACTGGAACAGTAATAGAAAGAATGGGTTTTACAAATATGTTTATGACATATACAACATAAAATATTAGTCTTGTTATCCCTTTTAGAGCAAAATTTACAACGTGCTCGTTTAGCAGGCGGAGTTGGATGGTCCATAGACGGTTCACTAGAATTTCCATCTTCTCCACTCGCTTCTGCTCGTGTTCTTTTTACCAGTTCTTGTGAGTCTTTAGTTCTCGGTAAATTTTTCCTGGAAAGGATAAGTGGTTTCACCAGTGTTTTTCCCAACTCCTCAAGAAAAATTCGTCATTTTGTAAGTTTATTGGTATTCCATTGGGGATTTATCGATGTCCATAAAACGAACGCGTTGTAGGCAGAAATGTCCAGCATATTGTAAAAAACAATCATGGGCCAGCGATTAGTCTTCCTCTTACATGTATATGTACCAACAAGCTGATCTAGAGTATCCACTGCCCCCTTACTGGAATTGTAATCTAAAATAATTTGGGGCTTCTTGTCATTTCTGTCACTAATAGCCTTTTCATGATGCAAAGTACTCATAAGAATAACATTTTTATTCTTTTTAGGAATATAGTTAACAACAGTGGTATCTTGTGTGAAGTAAAAAGACGAACTATGAACTTCTTTATTCGCAATTTGTGCTGGAAGCTCTCATTTATTTTTTCTTATAGTCCCCAGCATTGTATTTTTTCTTTTTAGAAGAAGTTGTCCTAAATTGTACGATGTAAAAAAGTTATCACATGTAATATTGTGGCCTTTCAAATCATTACTCAAGTCGCACACCACACGCATTCCTGATTTCGTTCTGGCGCGGCACCTGCTTCCTTTCCTGTATAGATCTGCAATTTAAGAGCATAAGAACTTTTACTGTCACATAAGGCCCAAATTTTTATGCCATATTTCGCTGGCTTGCTTGGAGTGTACTGTTTGAATGGACAGCGGCCTCTAAAGGCAACTAATTGCTCGTCGACGGTAACATTTTCATCAGGGTTAAAAAATGTTGGTAGATTTTCAACCCATTTTTCCCAAATTTCACGTATTGCAGCAAGTTTATCAGTACGTCTCCTATCCTGTCTAGTAGTCTTGTTATCAAAACGTATTACTTGCGAAATTTTTGTAAATACTTCAAGGGACATTGTTGCTCGAAATATACTACGACCCGTTTCTTCATTCCACAAACTTTTAGTTGATTCACCATGGGACTTAAAAACTCCAGCTAACAATAACAGACCAATGTATGCTTGAAAACCAATTTTATCTAAGTGTTTCCAGTTGTTTCCAAAAACACGCTGTCCTTCCATGTTGGTCATATTTATAATTTGGTTTGCAACTATGTCAGAAAAGAGTGCGTCAAATGAATTTTTAATATCGAAAATTCATGCACATGCGTACCTTGTAACTCCTGGAGCATTATTTATAACATTGGCCGTAGAAAAACGACCGCGTTGATAAGGAGGATCGAGCGACCATTGGATAGTATCGTCTTTTGAAGGAACCGTTACAGAAGGTTCTACAGGATGTTGTACGTAGAATGGAACACCAAAGGATTCATCACTACTTTCTTCCTCACTCTCACTATTTGTATTGTTTTCTGTTTCTGATATGCACTCATCACTCTCTGACACGTTCGCGAGCTCGCGAAGCTCATCTTCGGTTAGCGCTCTACGGTGCGACATTATCAACATGCAAACATAGACTGAAATTTGAAATATAAACGAATAAATGAATGCGCTTGGCCTTGGAATATTACTGTTTTACCACTTGTCTATCACCCCCACTTCCTTTTACGTGACATGCCATTCTACCTGACATCGTCCAGCTACTGCTACACTACACATATTTTACAAGTTCTAGCTTGTAGAAACTTGTTTTTATTTATAGACG